AGCTCCAGCCCCTGGAGACCTAACCTCACAAAGGTGTTCATATTGTGATAACATCTGTTACGAAATACAATATAGCACTGCACTGGTCCTGTGGTTGATTCCTATTTGAAAACCGCCCCCAGGAGGAGTTATGTAGCGATTATGGTCAGAGACAGAAACCATTTATAGCCTCTGCTTATTACACACTACACAACATTTGCATTTCAATACACTGTATCATCTGTGACTGCATGCGGCGAACTAGAACTGTACATGAGCTAACAGTTTTAGGACATTTGGACATTCGTCATATCAGATATCAGAAAACAGTCCGAGTAGAGACAGACACTGGCTATGTTTAAAAGCACTCAAAAATGTCATCATCAAATCTGATTCCTGTAGAATGATTGTCATGTACACAGTAATCTGGTTTCTCTCTGAATATCCACCCAACAAAAATCCTCTAATTAACACTCTCCTGGTGTTTTGATGATCAGATTCTTTACATGAACATGTAACCTCACACCAAAAATGTTATCTAATTGAGTGGGCCAAATGCAGAGGACAAATTTCCATGTGTACATTTCCTGAAGTGTACCTTAACTGTTATTAAAATTCTAGTTGATTTTTACTAGCGATGTAAATGTGCCCACTGATGAGCACACACTTCAAACAAATCCAGGTCCCATCAACGAATCAAGATGTCCACCACCACCCATTCTAATAATGGGTTTCAGAAACTTTGAGGAACCATTCTGCTGATTTATAAGGTTGAGGTACACTTAATCGTTGGGCCAATCTATAGAGCCAGAATCTGATCATCGCAGAATTACTATAAACTCAGTTAGTGCCGATATAGTTCACTTCTCCACCTTAAAAAAAAAAAGAAAAAAAAAAAAGCAATAAAAAAATGTATAGAAGTGATTTTTCAGCATCCACTGCAAGCCTCTAAGATAGTCTGTTGTCTGTTGTTTACAATGTATATGTAGTATACATGATTATTGTTTCTCTCTTGGCACAAACTCGAAATAACAATGAATGAATGAATCAATCAATAGTGGTGTAGCCACATTTATTGCTGTGCCACCTTCTGGAGGACTGAAGTTACATTGGATATAGTGCCTTTCAAGACACCCAAAGCTCTTTACAGTGCATTATTCATTCACTCCACACTTGATGATGGTAACATACTATTGTAGCCGCAGCTGCCCCAGTAGACTGAGGGAAGCAAGCCTGCCTATCTTGACCACCTGACCATTAACAAGACTCACACCACTTTCATGCTACAAGATGGGTGAAGTGTCTTGCCTAAGGACATAATGACAGAGCTTGGTTCAACCAGGGAGTCAATCCAGCCAATAGAATATATTGTCCTATATCCTGAGGATTTAAGTCTGTCTCATTGTAAGTGTGCTTATCTGCAAACTGCACGGAGAACAATTATAATGCCCTAATTGTGTATAAAAAGCTTTTGTTCAGGTCGACAGCACCTCAAATGCCTATACCCTCTGGCTTAGCCCTGGTCCCGCACAGGGGGGATCTAGTTAGTCCCTGCACATGAGTTTGGCTGCCTCTGCCTCATAACCACATTAACTAACTGTACTCCTGTGTTTCTATAGCAACAGTTCCCACTCTTCAGTCTTCAGGAAATGGTAGCGTGGAGAAGAGCCTCGGTGATGGTCATATCTGGACATGTCAATTCAGTGACCCCCATGGATTAATGCATTGATAACTGCATTTGTGTCTGTATTGATTTTGTATATAGCATAGGGGCGTTTATGGTCAGAAGTGAACACATTATTTAAATGGTAAGGGTTAATATAATGTCATGGCTCAAAAATACAATATAGGTCTAATAGCACCATAGGGAGTTAAACATGACTCTCTACTATTGTTTTACTAAAGATCCATGTAGCAATGGGATCATCAACCACCAAATGTAACAATTGGAATTTTTGTTTGTGGCTCAGAAAAATGTTGAAAATGAAAACTTGATTTGAACAGGTATCAATACGTTATATCAAATTACTGTTAATATGTGAATGTTGTAGTGAATGTTGTGATTCAGAAGATATGCAAAATTGTAACATTATCTTGTTCATACAAAAAAATCTAATTAAGTCTAAAAATGCTACAAATAGGATATTGAATGAAAATTTCTGCTTTATTGCCCACCCCTAAAGCAGTCTTTTATTTTGTGTTAAAGGTGCCCTGTGTAACTTTTCTGGTGGAGGGTCTGTTACGTCCTCATCTCCGTGGAGATGTTGTTGCTTTGTCCAGAATTGCATTAAACATATCAATGGAGACAAAAAAAAATAACACCATCAAGCCAAGTTGCTCGTCAGATCTATGGAGAGGCAACCCTGCTCATGTTTTTTAAGCAATAAAAACACTTGGAATTGAATAAATGCAAGATAGATAAGTCTAACACTATTGTGGAAAATTTCAGGCAAAGCAAAAACATCTGTATGGAAAAACAAATCAGATGCCAGACCCTCCACCAGAAAAGTTACACAATGCACCTTTAAAAATATATATTCTATTGTATAAAGAAAAAAATCTGTTATTGTTTTCTCTGGAGCCAGTGTATATGTCATTGTTCTATGGAAAACGCGTAACATATTGCATAACTTGTGACTCAACTGGTCTAAATATTTATAGAAAATGAGAGTTAGAGTTAGGAATAGTGTGCCTTCACCATCTCCATTCATCATTGTCAACATGCTATGAAAGATGGTGTGCAGCTGCAGCTCTTAGACAACAAACACATATCTTTAATGAAGTCTTGATTTACTACTGACAACCACTTTGCCCTTCACTTCTCCACGACATCTCAGCTCTTGTGTTTGGAGTGAGTTGTTGATATTCAATTTGCAGTGAACACAAAACACACACCTCCTGGGAAGAGGCTCCTGTCCTGAACCTGTTACTGTCTGGCTCTGCTCCAGCATTGTGAAGAGGAGCTCTGGTTCTGCGTGGATACATCTCTAGTGTGGTCCAATTTAACCACTTTTTAAGGGTTTGGAGGGAGAACATAGGCTACATTTACCTCTGCAGTTGCTGGGTTTCACGTGACAACACAACATTCTGTAGACCAATAATATTTCATACAGATGGAGGTGTAGCTGAAATTAATACTGTTAAAATGCAGATTTTTGTTGTAATACAGTGAGTACTCAGTGCTGGCAAGCTACTATTATAAACACAGCTGCCTTGGGACAGACTGACAGAAGCAAGCGTGAAAGTCTGTGCCATCGGCCCCCTCCAACCACCACCTACAGGTTCAATATTGTGCCTTTACTGCATGGATGTCTCTCAGGAAAGTACATTTGAATCAATATGAAAAACTGGCTCTTGCGCCCCATCTGGGAGTATTATTATCATATTCTAAAATCTGAAAACGTTGAGAACATGTCCTGAGAAGGTTTGTTGTGTCCATGTTTTTGTTTTTTATTCATTTTTTTTTTTTCACTTCACTCACTTTCACTTTCCAAAACATGTTAATTGTATTCTATCTGAGATATTATAGTCCAGAAATTACTAAAGCTCATACAGTTGGCAGTGTGATTCCAGCTCCCACACTTGAATGCTGTCGTTGTGCCAGTGTCTGCGTACATTGACTGAATGTGTGTGTGAATGGGAGAGTGCTTCCTTGATCTAAATCTAAAATTATATATAAAAATATGACCATTTACAAGTACATTGATAGTGAACAGAAAAGAAACCATTTTTGTCCTTTGTAGTATTGTATCACATGTTCAGCCCTCTACGTTTTCTATAGTGTAAAAGTAGTAGTTGGTTGTAACAGTGTATTGATGTTTTGGTTGTTAACACCCTTAAAGGTCCCCTTTCTCAGCCCTGTTCTCTCTGTATGTCTTTTAGGTGTTGATGAGTGAACACAGCGATGTGATGGCAGGGCTCACACGCTGCACCGACCAATCTGCACCTCACTAAAACCAGAGCACGCACAGTCAAAACCCAGACAGGTACCATTTTATTCTTTCATCGTTCAAATGTTTTTAGCAAAGTTTAATAGATTTTCAAGGCCATGATGCATTTAATGTTTTAGCACCTCCAGTACCACTGATGTCCATTATCTTCAGAAAGACATTTGAGTGAAAATTTTTCCTTTTCAATTTTACAGATGATGTACAAAAGCAGTTCACAAAATGTAGAGGTGGAACAGTCCATTATGCTTTTGTATGTTTTGTTTAAAATAATTAGAATTTCCCCGTCATGCAATTGAACCTCTCTTTTTTATTTTATCAGTCTCACACACTCACAGATTACAAGTATAAAAAGTAAAAAAAAAAAAAATAATTAATTCCAGGCAAACAACGTAACCTACGTAAGATGACAGTGCTGCAGAGAGGGCACAGTGCTCTTTACTTCTTTACAAATGAGACAAAGGTCGCACAGAGAATACCACAGCAAAGCACAAAGAACCAGAAAAATCTTTGTCATGAACATTGAGAATGTGAAAGAACATATATACCCATCTTGAAAGCAGTTGGCCATTATCTTATTCATTCAAACATATGTCTAGTCTAGTACACTGATTAAACTGACAATATTGATACAAAATGTTTATAAGTGTACTAATTTGGTCCTTGTTTTGATTTAGTTTTATTCACTGTTAATTAAAGAGGGATTGTTTGATTTATTTCTTGTTTAATTACCCGGTAATGTTCACTGTCTACACTTCAAAATATTTCTGGCAGTTGGGAATGACAAATTTGAAAATCACAGATTTTAAGAGCCTGCACCAGCCAGCTTTTACATAATTCCAGTTAAGGGAAGTGTTTTTACTCCACACAATGCACTGAATAAGCAGCTGTTTGTGAAAAAGAGACTGAATGTTATAGCCAGTACATTTTTAAAAAAGCATTGTGATTTCAGACTTTCAAACTTTCAGTTTCTCTGTTATAGTTCAACATCAGAGTGGTTGGGGCTGATGATTTAAAATCAGGTTCAGTGGTATATCTGTCTCTAACGCAGTTCTTTCCATCTTTATTTTTAGAATGGATTTTGCCAACTGGACTGAGGGAGAATACTCCACAAGCACCAGTGGATATGAATCCCTGGAGACCCCCATTGTCCCCACCAGTAAGATCCTGCTGACCATCACCCTCTCCATACTGGCTATCCTGACCACCTTCTTCAACTGCCTGGTTATCACCGCTATCGGCGTGACCCGCAAGCTCCACCACCCCGCCAACTACCTCATCTGCTCCTTGGCCGTGACAGACCTGTTCGTGGCAGTTCTCGTCATGCCCTTCAGTATAATGTACATTCAGAAGGAGCGCTGGGTCATGGGTCAGGCGGTGTGCACAATTTGGTTAAGTGTGGACATCACCTGTTGCACATGTTCGATCCTACACCTAGCTGCCATTGCTATTGACCGATACAGGGCAATTACGGATGCGGTGGAGTATTCTCGCAAACGCACTGGTGCACGAGCTGGAGCTATGGTGGCTGTGGTTTGGCTTTTGTCCATTCTCATATCTCTTCCTCCGATTTTGTGGCGTTACTACAGTGGAGATGCAGAGCACGAAGATCAGTGCATAATCACGCATCACCACATTACATTTACATTGTACACAACGTTCGGAGCCTTCTACATACCTTTGCTGCTGATACTGATACTGTACTATAAGATCTACCGTGCCGCCCAGACCTTATATATGAGAAGGGAAGCTAGCAGGGCAAGTCGGCACTCATGCATGACCAATGGAAGCATGATACCTTCCACTTATCCAGCAGGAGAGGGCGCCGGAGAGGTAGGAGCCCAAAGCCCGGAGCCGATAAGCCCAGCGGAAAAGTCTATCTCTGAACCATCGACAGAAGAACCACCAAGAGTGCGAGTTTCTGTAAAGGCTTCCCATTTCAAATCTCGCCGGCTTGAATCACGAAGCGAATCCAGGAACGAGTCAAGGAGGAGCCAGTTATCCCAAGGACCAAGGATCTCTGGAGCGAGGGAGCGCAAGGCAGCGTCCACGCTAGGTTTGATAATCGGCGCTTTTGTGATTTGCTGGTTGCCGTTCTTCGTCAAGGAGGTGGTTGTCAACACGTGCGGATCGTGCACTGTTTCGATGGAGATGGAGGCGTTTTTGACATGGCTGGGTTACATCAATTCACTGATCAATCCTCTCATCTACACCATCTTCAACGAGGACTTCAAAAAGGCTTTCCAAAGACTTATTAGGTGCAGCCATTATCTCTGATGGTTACAATTATGCATGGTCATATACGCTATACAATTTTCCTCGAGAAGGGACCACTCGCAAGGACAGACTAATAGCAAGATGGGCACAAATTATCGGTTGAATCATTTCTGAGAGAGTATGATCTCATAAAGGAGAGGACTGACGCCCATTTCTGGACACTTGAACAGCCCAAATGGCATCAGCTCCACACTAGCCAATCCAAGACCTTCTATTAATAGAATAGCCTGATCTCCTTGATGTTAATTGCTGTGTGTTGTGGCACACCGACATGTTGGTTTTTAGAAAATGGGGCCATGGATGACCTTTTCTGAGGTCTGCTTTCTGAGCTTTTGCCATCAGCCCCATTTTAAGTCTTGAAATAACTAAAACCAATACATCTGACCCCAATTTATGTATACCACACTGCTGAATACAGGACATCTGTAAAATACACCACAATAGAACAGAATGTGAGGATGGGTGCAATATTTCAAATAACTGTCAGTATGATGGTTAATAATGTTCAATTTGGTTTTGCCACAAACATATTTTTTCAGTACATGTCGATTTTATTTTACCGGTTTAATATTTTTTTCACATTAAATCTAAAATTTTATTAAAACTTTTTAAAGTGCCAAGTGTTTTGTGCCAAGAAATATTGTTCTTACTGTGCATCTACACATTCTACATTATGACATAAAACTCATCTGTCTCCACAGAGAATGTTCCACTTTTTTTTTCTATTTCCATGAAATCATACAGCTGACATGATAGCTCCAGAAAATTACACGGTGTTGCTTTAAAATTAATGGGACTGACCAATGTTACAAGATTAAAAAAAAAAAGAGCCAATGTAATGAGTCCTTTTATATAACTTAAGTATTGATTTTTGCAATATCATTATTGTTGAATAAGCTTTAAAATTTAATATATTGATTTATCTTGAAGCCATTGAGTAACCATCCCTCACATCTTCTCCTATCAGCATTAATGACTGTGAGAGCCACCAGTGAGAGGTCCTCATTACACCACTCCTACTCATGTACTTGGAATAGAACTACTATTTCTTTACTGCCTCCAAGAGGGCACATAAATGTTGATGAAAACATTGTGGCTGAGTCAAGTGTGAGGGTGTTTCTCTACAGGGAGATGAAGAGTGACATTTATACTGTGTACATCTTTGACAGATATGGCCAGTATTTGTACACTGTTGTTTTTTTTTTTTGTTTTGTTTTTTTTGTCTTTCTCCTGTTCGAATAATCAGTAATAAACAATTCGCACTTAAAGGCGGCCCTAGTGTTTCTTCACTTTGTCTTATTTTGACTTCCTATAAAAAACACATGGATTGCACTCTACGTAGAAAAAAACAATCTGGAATCTGGAGAGGCATCAGCCTCCCTCTATCTTCTTCCAAATGTCAGCATCATCTTGGTATCTTGGCACACTCTTGTGGACTAAAAGTGTACTACAGCTTCAACAGATCAGAGTAAAAATCATGAAGGACTAACATCACTATGGTTGAGAAATTGTAATTAAGACAGTTGTCTTAAAACTGAACCCTCACGCTCTCCTCGGGGTCACACTGACCTGAAGAAATGTTTTTGTCCTTCCCGCTCTCTTGGGGCGAGTCAATCAGACCCAAAACATTATTTTCAAATAAATTCTCGCCAGGCGTCTGATTGACCCGCCCCAAGAGAGGGGGGGAAAAAAATCTTCGGGTCAATGTGACCCCGAGTAGAGGGTGAGGGTTAAATACATGTTAAAGGGGGAAATTATCATCTTCCCCCACATATTTAGTCAGATTATTTTTAGTCTTATTATTAATTTGCTTTGTTTGATTAATTTCTACATTTCTGAAGCCTCGTAAAGACAGATCATAAAATCAATAGCCTAGCCGTTTCTTTCACACTGCAAGTCGAATCAGAGTTTTGCCCAAATGTGACGTGTTGTTTTCATGTCATTGTAAATAGGGCAGATGTAATGTTTTCAAATGTGAACCAGCCCACTTTCATATGTGGAAATAAATCAGATTCGACAGATCTTTTGTAGTGTGAACATGCAAGTCACGTTTATATAACTTTTATAGCTCTGAAATGTAGCAAGTGCCACATTTTCACTGAAAAAGACGGAAATAAAACGTTTAGCCTCTTAAGGCCTTATTCTCGAAATTACCAATGTATGATATTTTAAGGTATTTAACAAGAAAAGCCTGCCAGACAACAGTAGTGGAGCTAGTGTAAGTATAGTGAGGTTTTAATGGTACTTGTTATTTCGGGAAGAAAGTATGACAAGACAAAACAAGAAATTTTACCTATTGGTAAAAGAAAAGTAGGCTATATACATTTCTGATTAGTACAGCCTACTGAAAAATGATGCTCACTCACTGGTCTTTCTCATAAAAAAACAGCCCGACTCCAGCCCTGTTCTCATCTGCACACCAAGACACTTCAGGTCTATGGCTCACACATGAAATTTGATTTGAATCACATTTTATTTGACACTGCAGTGGGAACTGTCCCTCCAAAATATCAGATTTGGGAAACAATCTGAAAAATCTGTAAATCCATTTGCTATAATAATGTAATATTTTCTTTAGTATCCTGTTTTTTCCCCCATCCTAGATCCATGGTACGTCCAGGATGAGATAACGTCCCTTTAACTTTATTTGCACCACCCTCCACTAGGTGGCGCTGTACTTTGCGTTAAAAACCAATAACTTAAAAGACTACGCCAGGGCATCGGTTAAAGTATTTGCTAAATATAAAATGAACACATTCGCGCAGTAGGCTTGACTGGTGCACTTATTTCATGCACCCTATGTAGTAGGTTTGACTAATGGTGTTATGAGCCCAGTGGCCTAAATATACACATTTATTTTTCACTCGGAAAATATCAAATTTTCAAAGCATTCGCATTGATTCACACATTTAAATGTTTAATACACACGCTATACATATTTGTAAATCCAAACAAATCAATACACATTCAAACCTTTAGCTAACTGTTGTAAATTTACAACTCTAAGTTCTGTGGTTGCCATGTTGGCAGTTTCAGTTCTGCATTGAAAGGGGGATAATCCTCGTTCTACTTGGCAACTTGGACTATGCGCCTGATTCCGAGTCCAGTATGGCGGACAGCGAGAGTGATGTGGAGACAGACGGGCTTGATTTAGCCCTAGAAACGCTGTGTACCACACACTGTACAGACGAGGCGTCTCTCAACAGTAAAGCGTACTGTTCTGCGTTTTGTAAGGTACGACAGTTTCACTTTCCTCAGACTTTGAGCGGAACGGAGCTGTGTTTATAGCGCCATGCTAATGCTAGCCGCTCGTCTAGCTGTCCTCTGTTGTATTGTTTTAACCAAACCCTTTTTGGATTGTGCTTTACTGTGGTGCAGGTGGAACATTATAACACGTTTATCCCTTTTGGTTCATTCTAAGAGGGCTGTATTTGCATTTCTGATCTCCCTGATATATTCTAGTACACCACTTTAGCCGGGTGGCTATATGTAACCATTAATTTATTAAGCACCTGTCTACTAAGCTAATCGTTTATTCCAATAGTATAGATATTTAGTTTTATTCTCCTCCAACTATAACCAATTTGTATTATAAACAACTTAAGTTATACAAACGCAAAGCATATTTTTGACAGCTTTTTGTCTGGTGTGGATGCATGATGACCCAACCTGCTGTTCGAGGTGCACTGTACTAGTTTCGGTATTGCTCGTCTTTACGGGGGTAACTAGAGTTAGTTATAGATGTAATGATAAAGATACTAATGGTATAAGCACAATTGACAAACAGCAGCCAATGTGGCAGGTTATATTGCTTCTTTGTAATTTTATAATTCATTATTATAATCTTATAATTGGTCGCTGGTTTTGTATTTTAATGCAGATTTTCTTCTGTATTTTCACAGCTGGTTGAAGAATACACTGGACAATGGCATGTTCCCCTCCCTCAGCTCAAAGTACTCCGGACCGCTCTCTGCAGTTTCACCAAAGCCACTGCTGTCTTCCCTGATGACTGCCAACACATTCACTATGTCCTTAGCAGTCTGGCTTTGTAAGTACTAATTTGAGTGAATCGATGATGAATTTGTTGGCTAATACAACTGTGTGTGTCTGACTGGTTCTCATGTTGTTCTACAGGAGCTTCTTTGAATTGTTGCTGTTTTTCAGCAAAGAAGAATATGGGGAGCAGCCTCTAAAAGATATTTTTGATTCTTTTCTGGTAACAAAAGATAATGTCTACATTTATATTACTTTGATCTAATCTTTGCAAATCATTATTTACAAAAATAATTGTTTGTAGGAATGCCACTCTCAACTTTTGAGACACAGAAATATTTACCTACACCATGTCAAGTTGACTCTCAAGTCTGGGGGCCCATGGGAGAATCCTGTACTACAGAGAATCCTAAAGGAAGCAGACATACTACAAAAAGAGGGTTGGATTATTGTTTTAGAAGTAAGATGATGGTCTTGTAGATTCCACTATTAACCTTTTTTTTTTCTTGTCATGCAGTTGAGGAGTACTTGAGCTCAGAGCTGCCCATACTCCTTGAGCTGCGAGTTCGGTATTTGCAGGCCTGTGAGCGTTTACAGGAAGCGATGGCACTTTGTAAGTGCTGCCTGGAAAATCAGGATATGGGAAAACATTTATTCTTCCATCAGGCCTACCTGACTTGCCTCTACAAGTCATCGCTGCATGAACACCTTCTCAAAGAGGTCAGTCTGAATAGTGAAACAAGCCTTTCTTTCGAAAGTATCTTGCAAAATGTGCTTTTTTTATGTTCAGGTGGCAGAAATTGATGGGCGTGACGCTGTAGAGATCATCTGTAACACAGAGAGTGTTGAAAAAGACGAGCTCCTGCTGTCACTCTGTAAGACTTTTCTTAGTCAGCAGCTACACAATGGAGACATGTACTACATTTGGTGAGTTATAAAGCACAAATGTAAAATTAGACTTGTTTTTAGGATTTCCACAGTTGGATAAAATATGTGTTATTTATTTTTCTTGCAGGGACCTGGTGTTCATTTGGAGCAGATTGTACCTCAGAGCTCATCCCTCAAGACACGAGTTTATCTCCGAGTGTTTGAAGTTGTCGTTTTCTGCAACTAATGTCAGAGCCATCTTCCCTTTTATCAAACTGGTTCATACAGAGGTAAGCCATGGCATGATGCTGAATATATTTATTAGATTGACATTTAATGTAATAATTGTTATTGATATTTTCTAATGAATTTGAATGTTGCATTTGTATCTTGAAGCTCGGTGAGGAGGGGATTCAGGTGTGCGTGGAGCTGTGTGCCAGGGCGCTGCAGTTGTGCGACCTCCGCTCTGATGCAGTAACACGGTCTCTGGTGTGTAAGACTATTGCCTTCCTGCTGCCACACGACCTGGAGATGTGCCGAGCCTGTGCCCTTCTGGTGTTCTGTCAGGAGCGCAGTCTGGAGGCCTACCGCACTGTCTGCTCTTTGTACAAGCATCCTGATGATGAGCTGCACCCTCACAACAGCCCTCTCAGGACCTGCATACGCTTCCATATTCTACAGGTGAGTGGTATTTTTGATTCTTGCCATGAATTAACAGCTCAGTTGCCCACTAATTCAAGGATTGAAGGTTCACTCCCAGCTTCCACTATGGCATGCTTATAATTGTGTACTTGGGCCTTATGCATGCGTGACTGGGTTATGGTTCCTTGATGTAAAATGCCTTGAGTTTCCAGTGGAGATAGACTATCAGAATATAACTTTTGACCTTTTATTTTGTTTACCATAACAAGAACCCTGCTTTTGAAATTCCTCTGAAAAGTGTTGGAAAGAATGGCCTGCTTGTTGATGCTGAATTCCTTTTTGATATTTGCATCTTTGTCTTAAACTAAGTTTATCAGATCAATCATGTGACCATTCTTGTATTTTACTCCTCAGAAACTAAAGGAGCATTTGTGTTTTGACCCTGAGTTTTGGAACCTTCTGACTCTGAGGACGCACTGCTTGGAGTTGATCAGTGACAAAGCCATGCAGGCGGCTGTCCTGAATGAAATCGAAGAAGAGGAGAAATATTGTGCAGCTCAGGCAGTTTACAACTGTGCTGACGAACTTCAAGTAGTAGAACTAGAATCTCTCAAACCTTCTGCGTGTAATAGAAATGTGAATGGCCCAAAGGAGAACCCAGACAGTGAGAAAGTTAAACCTCTGACCCAAACAGAAAATGTACCAAAGAGAAGACGAGGGAGGAGACGAAAAGATGAAATGAAGAAAGAGACAGAGAAAGTGGTCAACGAGGTTAATACAGAAGATGATCCAGAGGTTGTTTATAACATTAAACCCAATTATTCAAGCAAATCTGACTCGTATTCACTCAGACACAACCACAAAAATAGAGAAAACGCTGCGCCTGTTAAATTTCCATTAAACCGTAAACGAGAGTACTTGACCAGGTGCGTGAAGAGCCAGCTCCTGACGCGAAAAGGACACAAAAAGTGGCTACAGGGTGTTCAAACTCTTGACCGTGAAGAGTATTTAAAAGTCAAAAAGATCATGTACAAAGGCAAGAAACGAGGAAGGAAACCATTTTATAGACTTGAGCTAAGTTATCCTGACAATGAAATTCAGCTTGTAATTGAAATGCAATCTAAGGACAGTATAATAGCTACTTCTGAAGAGGAAGGCATTGAGTCCATAAATGATATAGCAGAGGACTCTCAAACAGTGCCAGTAACCAGTCCTCCTAAAGAAGCCGACTCTGCTCTTGTCCCAGCTGTAGAGGGGGATCCTGAGCTGGATGGACCGCTGTATGAACTGATGGATTCTGCCGTAGAGGTTTTTCATAATTACTGCCTCAATTCTGACACAGCTGAGGATGAGGAAGAACAATCAAACGAGACAATAAAGTCTGCAAAATCTAAAGATAGCACAAAGTCAAAAGATCCCATTAAAGACAAACCCAAGGAGTTAGTTGAAGCACCAAAACAGCCCAATGGATCTGAAGAAGCAAAGCCATCAGTGGATACAGAAGAGGCAAAGTCTGATCAGGAGGTAGGCTCACACTCATTGGCCATTGGCAGTTATAATTCATTTTAAGGTGCGCTATCTACTTTTTCTGCTGGGGTTTTGCCTTGTGCTTCTCTCAGTGGAGATTTTATTGTTTTGCCTGGAATGTTCCACAGCTTGTCTACATATAAGAGAAAATGTAATACTAAACCTTTCAACATTTGAGCAAAGCAATAACCTTAACATAGAGAGAAGCAGGGAGTGGACCCTCCACTTTATAGAGAACTGTTTTTATTTGCACCATGACAATTAATACAAATTAATGAATACATTTATGAAGTTATAGCTAAGACATTTAATGAATTGTGTAAGGTTCATCAGTTGTTGCCATGTTTTAGTCTTCTACTCTAAATTAATAATCATTTCAAGAAGTACATTTGTTTAGTCGCTTTAAGTTGACTGATTTCTTCTTGTTTCAGGTAAAAGGGAAGAGCATATGGCAGGAGAAATTATTACGGACACAGAAATACAGCCACATCATTCACTCGTGTAAATTCTGCAACAAAACCTACAGGGGCCTGAATGTGATGAGACATGCCCTCTCGCACCTGAAGAAGAAACGTAAACATTGTATCCTGTGTGGCCAACGCTTTAGGGAGTTCTCTGTGGCAAGCAAGCACATCCAAGAACATATAGAAGAAATGAGCAAACAAAAACCTGGTGGTGACAATAAAACTGGTGAAGATAGCAAAACAAATGAGACCAATGAAGAAAATCATGTTGGCAAACCAAGCAACAATAACAACACTGACGAGAAAAAGGCAGTGCCAGACAGCGGCACATCTCAGCAGACCCCTACAGCCAATGGTACAGAAACTCCAAGCCCACCCATACCTTTTGATGATAACCCAAAAGAAGATGAAAACCTAAAACCATCTGAAACCAAGGAGCCCAGATCCACTACCAAACCAAAACCTTGCCGATTCAAATTCACTGAGCTAAAAAGAGAGGAGCGGATTGCGAGACACGTTCTCAATCTCTTTAAAAAGCGATACGTGTTCAGCAAATTTAACCAGAATGCTATACCTCGTGACTTCGTATTGAGTGAGGAGCAGGTGGTGATTGATGGAGATTTGGTGATACTGAAAAATGTGCCCATGCGTCAGGAAGGATTGAATTGCGAAAATGAAAAAATGGATGCATCAACTGAGAAAGAGGACCAAGGAGAAGAGGCTGAAAACATGTCTGAGAAAGATGAAGAAAGAAAAGGGGATAGTGCAGAGGAGACCAAAAAGGAGGGAGCGAAGAAAGAGGAGGATGGTGCCGTGGAGGGCAAAGAGGCAGAGATGGAAGCACAGTTTGTCAGTAAAGACCTTGTGTATTACTTGTGTCCTGGCGAGGGATGTGACAAAGTGTTCTACAAGATCGGCCACACCATGACAAGACACGCTATGAAGTACCACCTGAGTGAGGAGAAGATTCAGGAGGTCATCTTCAAATGGTCCAAACAAAAGTGCATTCTTTGCCACAGGTAAATTTTCCCATGTGCTTGGTTCATGTTTATTTGGAGAACATATTACTAGGTCAAAATGCACAGACTGGAACAGGTTTGGTGGAAGAGTGCTAGTTAAATTCAAATCAACTATATCCGAAGTTAGGTTCATTATTATACCATTTAGGAGTCTCTGTAAGATTAGATAATCATTTATTGTCCCTCATGGGAGAAATTTGTCATGGGGCTCACATGGTTTAACACAAAGAAAAGACAACATGACAACATAAGCCCAACAGACATCCACCTTTGAACATAAATAAGAGATACAGGAAAGCCCTTTAAAGCCTTATGTTTTATTCGAAATTGCACATTCTTTAACCCTACGTGTAGTTCCGGCAAGAAGTGCCTCCATTGACACTTATCTATGATTTACTTTTATTTTTAATGTGTTATTTATTTATTTATTTTTTAAATATGCTCACACGTTTGTATTGGCATGCTTTCGGTTTTGCCCATGAACCTAAAACATTTACAGTTGACCCCTGATATGTACCATAATTCAGACCTAGTACACAAACATTAAGAGCAGTAAAGATGTATCTGTAGAAGGATCCACAGTGAGATAGTGTTGGTCCTTTGGTTACAAAGATTGATGGATTTATACAAAATAAAAATATGTAGATTTCTTTGACAAAGTATCCACTATTATGAAGAATAATAATTAATTCAATTAAAATGAATTCTTGAAATCAGCAGATTGTGTTAGATTAAAATAATGTGTTTATCCAGTCTCAACTAAAACGTCTTGCCAAATGTGCTCTTTATTCCAGGCAGTTCAATCTTCTCCCACACTTCAAGGGCCACCTGAAGCTTCACCTGGAGCACCCTCAGTACTTCTGTTACCACCAGAGCTGCGGGCGGCGCTTTGAGTCCTTCCAGGAACTGAGAAACCACGAGGCCCAGCACACGCCACTCAGACCCCAATGCATGTACACGGCCTGCGAGAACGTCTTTAACAACATGTTTGGTCTGAGCGACCACGAGTGGAGACACTACATCCCCACACCTTTGAAAAGTGACTTAGAAACTGGCACCAACAAAGGCAAGCGCCACAGCGAGGAAGCCCCTTGGAAGCAGAGGGTCAAAGTTGAAGAGTTGTGGCTACAGAATAAAAATACCCCAAGAGAGGAAATCAACTTGAAACAGTTTGATAGAGAATTAAATGATTCAAAGAGTAATGATGATTCAGAAACTTGGAATGATGAGACCAGTGCTAAAACTGTTAATGGATATTATGAACAAACAGACCCACTGTCCCATACTCAAAAACAAGCTTCTTCAAAACAAAAAGCACCACCAGAACCGGACCCTATAAATGTCAAAAACCGCATGGAGGACACTACCATAGCAAGCGTGTGTGAAACAAGTGGCCCAGAGGTTCCTCTAATTGAGGAACACAAAACATTTAAACCCAACGATCCTGCATATAAGCCCTTGTTCAAAGCCCCTCTTCTACGACCCCCTCCATCCATGTACATGACCGAATCAGAGCTGTCGATGCGTAAGAGGAAAATGGAACAGACTGCCTCTGCTCCTGTTGTAAAGAAGATCCTGACTTGGAACCAGCGCAAAAAGGAATCTGCTGTCACAGATGCGCCCAAACAAAAGCTTGAACCAGAGCCCAAGATTAGGCACCGCTGTGAAAAATGTCTGTCGTTTTTTGGTTCTCCTGAAGAATTAAAGAAACACAAATCGCTCAACACCTGCTCTGCACTTTTTGGTTTTGACTCAGACGATGAAAGTAAGTAAATGCTGTTATGATATCATTTTTACAGTCTATAGGAAACTAATATTTTTTATTATGTTATCTTTTTAGGTTGATGAGAACTGAAGCATTGAATGAGGTGGTTCTTGCACTCTTCACACTACCCATTGGTTGGCTGCATTGTTTTTCTTTATACAAATGGAATAGTGTGTTAAAATACCTTTTTATTTTTGTTTTATATGTGAAGCTGTGGTGTTTCTACTGCTTCATCAAAGAAATTATTTCTGTAAATGAATTCTCTGAACAGTTTGACAACTTTTACATAGTTATTCTCAAGAAACCTCACAAAAAATACTTAATTTTTGCAGTGTTTTGCATTGAAAATTGTATGTATGAACTAAATGATCAGTACTTTAAACTGATTGTATGAGCTTGATTTGTAACTTTTACCAATTGGCACCTGATGAATTACTGAACTGTGCAAGTTGCAATAATGATATTTTTATTTTGTTGGTGATTTCAGCAAGTCTCCTGGTGAGCTTACATTCTGCATGGTTATTTTTTGTAGTCTTCCAGCATCATGGTAATCCATAAGAAGTAGTAGCAAAATATGACTTACCAATTCTACACACATGTAAAAAGTATTCACATTTTAAGCCAGTTATGACAGGAAAGGTTGTCTTTATTTTTTCTAACTTGTGTACAGCTAAAACCAAATCACATAATTATTAGTGCCATAACCGAATCAGTGTTCAATGTTTTTAACATTTATGTAAAGGGTTCAATAAGGTTGTACCCTTTGGTACAACCTTATTGATTATTTGGTTGATTATTTGTTTATAGTAGTATATAGGACATGACTTGACTTATATAATGATAAGTTTGGATTTTCTTTCTAAAGTTTTAGCTTGCATTGGTTATTTATTTATGTAAATATGTGAATAGACGGAATTTGTAAATCTGAAAATAGTCCATCTATTTTTCTTTAAAAAAGGTTGGATTTGTTTCAATAAACAAATGATGAACATTTGACATTAATTTATTTTCAGAAGCAGTTTAATAAAGGTAAGAAGTGTTATAAAGACAGTACAGTATTGATAATTTAATAATAAACATTGCATATTTCTATTCTGTCATATTGCTTGTGAAACAAGACAAGTGTAGTCAGAGGTGCTTAAGGTTTTTGCATCACATGCCTGGCACAGAACATTTTCAAACAACACAGTTAAACATGAAAATCATTTCTTTGCTACATTTTAAAAGTACTGAATAACTCGAGCATGAGCTTGTTTCTTTGAGCTAGAACTTTACTACTTAAATTGAATTGCCTTCTTATGGCAGATTAAGACGCACTCTGTTATTTGGTTATGCAATATCATGCAGCTCATGCATTCCAGCTGTGATGAAATGATGGACTTGAAACATGCATCATCAACTTTGTTTCCTCTTAGAAATCTATAATTTATCTAGTCTTAAAATTTTAAGTAACAGTAAGTAAGGCCAAGTTTATTTAAAAAGCTATCAGTATAAATGTATTTTTAAAAACTGTTTCAAACCATGCAAGTTCATTACAGGCAAATCCAGCTGTCCCCCCCCCCCCCCATAATTACCGGTACTTAAATTTGCCAGAGAACAGTAGCACTTATATTTTAGAAATGGAAGACCTTGAGTATGTAGTACCTTGAGTAAAATATTCAGTAGAAGAAAATACCATACATCTTCTTTTAAACTTTGAAAAGTTGATTTAATCTAAAGATAAATAATTATCATTGCCCAACATGCACCAAAGCAGAAACAACCTTCATGTTAATGTGTAGATTGCATTTAATGTTATGACTGCATTGTCAGAAGTGTAGCTGTTATTTCACTGGCTGTAAAATGGCTTCATAAGGCAAAGGCAGCATGCTAGAGGTCAAATGACTGCCTAAACTGCATGTCTAAAATGATCAGTAATGCCCCAAATGTACAATGAATAGCCTTTAAGACTCCTGAGTTGCTTGCTCTTTGTAAATGATAACACTTTTCATGTTGAAACAGAAATACACAGATAATGAGTCTCAAACAAAACAAACATGACTACAGTGCACTGGACAGTGATATTATTGCATACATATTTTCATGGTAGGGAACCATTTGATTTAATCTGAAGTGAGTAGACTCAACAGTGAGGCTAGGACAAAGGGCGGTGTGCAAAGCTGGCTGTGTGTGAGCGTGCTCAGTGGCTGCTGTTGCTGGTCCAGTCGTAGGGGAGGTAGCTCACTTTGGTCTTCCCCACGGACAGGATGTCCTGCAGGCTGGACTTCTTCGGAGAGTCGGCCATGTGCTCCAGCACCCAGTTCAGCAGCTACAAGACAAAGCAGACATGGTCAGTGAGAAAGCAACAAAAGTACAACACAAAATATCTTAGATCTAGTATCAAACCTGCCTTCTCATCTGTGCCTCCAAAGTCGGCCTTGTACCATTTAAAAATCTGACTGAGTCGAACTTCTTTCTTCCCAGAATCCACCACACAGGCATCATCGTTCTCTAAGAAGGCTTCTGCAGCGGTCCTGAGCTGGCTGTCAATGTCCTAATGACAAAACAGTACATTTGATTGTATTTTAGTGTTTTCTTTTCTGCATGTAAAAGACAGATGGAGAATAACTTGTACAGTTGTACCTGTGGGGTGTATGTTTTAATTGGTGGACAGCCCTTTGCGCCACAATTCAAGGCAAAATGAATGAGAGGCTCGACCTCTGGTAGTGCCATCTAGCAGATAAAAACAGAATTACACAATTACTTTTCATAAGAAAAGTTAGTACAATAATGTTATTGATGAATGTTATTAATGTGGCAAACCTGAAGTCGTGGGTCTGTTTTGGAGAAGGGTCTCCGTAGTTGTGCGATACCCTTTCCTGTTCCCCCTCAAAACCCCATTTTCAATGTCCTGAAGCGTGAATACCTCACCTCCAATCAAGTAGCTCACATAGTTGAAGAACTATGGCAAAAGATCAGTTTGAAAATGTGTATTCAAAAGTAATGAATGCAATAATAAATACAAACATAGAAAGTCTTACCTTGTATCTCTGCCACATGTTGGTGGGTGCTCCCAGGCGCAGAAAGCCGTGGATGACCAGTGCGTTGTAGATGTTGATGAAGAAGGCCAGCTTCTCCTCTCGGCTCAGAGACAGCAGCTCTACTCTCTGCAGCTGAATGGCCAGATCACAGTATCGCTCAAATGCAGGGTTAGCCGACATGCCTTTGTAGTCCACAAACTGAAAAACAACACAAACAGGATTTAAATCTATGTCCTTTTATGAATGAATAGAATGCTCCACAACTCCTCTCACTGACACAAAAAGATAGTCAGTGAACAAGAACAGTACCTTGCCATCAGCAGAGAGATGTTGAGAGAACAACTTCAGGATCAGATCCCGTAAAATCAGGGAAAGCTCAGCAGCTGAATGAGAATATGGCAGGTTATATTTAGTACAACATATCATAGCAGTAAGACAAAATGATTAAAATTAGTAAATTTTTCAGAAACTTTGTTAATTTTGACATAAATCAAGCTGGTAGAATTTGTAGCTTTAAGTTATTACAGGACAAGTGCAGCTTTGAAAAGTGAGAAAAATTACATATTTTAAACACAAACTGAAACACAATACATTTTTGCATATAGTTAACATAGTTGCCAACCATTAGAGGTGGGAGATATATCAAAAAATAGAACATCAAAATTTGAATATCAAGCATAAAATTATAATAACAAAAAAAGCTACAAAAGGAAAAACATTTACAATGTTATAACAATCACATTAGTTGTTGTAGCACAAGTCTGATGGATTACTGTAATACTATCAGAACATTGTCAATGGATAATCTGAAAAAAAAATTAAATATAGATTAATTTTGATCAACATCACCCACCTCTTTTGGATGCATGTATACAAGCAGACACATAAACCCATTCAGCATGTAACACTTTCAGCAGCACAACTTACAGGCAATGCACTGAACCAAAGTTCCCCAACAACCCAAGATTACACACCAAGCAGCAGCAGCATCACCAGAGTGGGTTAAAAAGCCGACCCCTGTTAGTTTGTTTCTAGGGTGTGTTGTTCTACCTGGTTCTGACCTACCCTGGATAGGACTGCAGGCTGCGGTTTGTCCTGCGTTGAGGGCAGAATGGGGGTCGTCCTCCAGTAACCTAAACAGAGTCCCTCCAAAACTGTCCTCTTGTTTTCCAGAGCAACACACACTCACCATGTACTTCTTCTCCAACAAAGCCTGCCCAGTGTTATATGCCTCTTCTCCAGCTAATACACAAAACAACATCAGCAGCCTTCTCAATGTATGTCTTCATGTTTGTAATCATTAAGTTATTAATAAAGGCTAGAGGGATTGTCATCATGGCAAACTTATGTAACCAACGTAAAGTTCAGATAGCCATGTTGTGAGTGACACATTATACTCAAGAAGATGTTTTCAAAATTCTGAGAAACAAATATCCTGACAGAGGCAGTATTACTACAAATATACCACAAATTTTTCAATTTAAACCCTATATTCCATTACTTTACAGGCTCTTTTTTTCTAGATTATATTCTTTTAGAATCTTCCTCCACTCACAAGATGGCTATCACATTTGGCACAGCAGTGGAACTCTTGAGCTCTGTAGCCTTTATTAATAGCCGATTGTTTGTAATAACCCAAAGAAAGTGCCCTAAACTTACCCATGCCCTTTTCCTTGTGCAGCCAATTAAGCAGCTGATCACCTGAGAAGCTCTTTTTGTGCACAGTCAGCCCCCTCCTGTGATTCCCGATCACACTGCCATGTTTGAAGTCCTCAACCAGGTTTGCCAACTCATCTCTCTCACACATAAAGTCTGGGAGCACAAGTATGCAATGCCAAGTACAAATACAACAAATTATATATGGTATGTTCTAGTAGAGTCTGAATTAACAAAGGACCATTGTGTTGTTACGGAATTTACTATCCCCTGTTTTGTGGAATAAAAGGACACTTCCTGTTAGAGCTGTGCAATTAATTAAACAAAAATTTCAATTATAACTCTATTGAATTGATAAAATATACAAAAATCAACATTAAAAACATTAAACATTACTAATAACATATATTACGTATATCATTTCTCTATAGGTTAATGTTGTTTTAAATCATTGTGATTTCATTTATGAGTCAAATTATGATCAGGCAGCCATACTTCCTATCATTGTTAACATTAGTGTGGTTAGTTCTGTGTAATGTTTAGTGTCACAGAACTGTTCTTCACTACCAGTTTCCTTGGTCAGCTTTACGCTTATCACACTTATCAATAGGCCCTAGCCAGACTGTCTCACAACTGGCCTTCTTAGTTATCAATATGTGACCTCATTCAAACCTCTTTATGTGGAAGGAAGCATAGGCACACTTGGATGGACAATACTATCACAATGAGTTGACTGTGCATGGCTCCAGGTCCTGTAATGATAAACTACTACCTCAGGTATCCAGAGTTAGTCTCTTTTACAGAGAGGGCAGCAATTTTACCCTAGTAATTGGAAGAAATTTAATATTGTAAAAATCCATGTTAAATTCATTAGAAAGTCAGAGGAAGGAGAATTAAGGCAGGCAGGATAAAAATGAATGGCATTTGATTTAAAATTTGAATTTTTAAAAAGCCAATAAAAACATATAATATAGTGTAATATCCATACATTTGTTGTTTTCATCAACACAGTAGACAAAATGTGGTTTATATTAGCTTTTTCCCCTGTAAGATATTATAAATCCTATTAATCTCATTTTAGACACTCAGTTGCACTAAACAGATGAGTGTAGACAGGTTGTGTTTGCTCAGATGAAGGCCTAATTCGCTGTGCCCTGGCGCTCTGGGCTTATCCAGATCAGGTTTCTGTATCAACTGACTCTGTCTCTGTGGCATTAGTGACTCTCAGCTCCCACTCTCACACCTGCTGCTCCAAAACCTCTCACTGCTGTCCACCTGCACCATTTCATCATCACTGCCTCTTCTTATCTCCACTTCAAACAAAGATGACTAAGCAACTCTACGCCCAACTACACACAGTATGTTACTACTGTTGAATGTGAAGGGAGGAATTTCATAATGAAGCACGGCAATAACAAGTGGACAAAAATGTTAATTCAGTTACCTCCATCAGACTCTGCAGCAGTATCTTCAGTAGGACTCTCCATAGGTAAAGGTGGAGCATCTATGGAAACTGGCTCGTTCATAACTAATTGAACCAACCTCTCCAGTTCTGTGGGATTCTGTTAAGTTTAAAATACAACATTATATACTCGTTTGTGTAATAGGTATGTTGAATATGCTGTACAATTCACATTTATATCTGTATTGTGGTTATTGTGGTTATGAGTTAATGCTGATAACAGCTAAATCTGAACTACAAAATGGATAGAATGACAATTCAATACATTTACAACTATTGTGTCATAACTTAAAGATAAGCTTTAGGGATGTAACAATAACCAAAATATTGTGATATTGTATTGTCAAAAGTCTCACAATAATATCGTGGGCTGTCACAATATATCAAATCACAAGTTCATTTGCTTAAATACATGGTTTTATAGTAGCAACAGTTTATGAACATCGGAAACTACATATCCCATGATTCACTTCAGTGCAGACAACATGAAGAAATATGTTTTTTACTTGAATTCTTGGGATTATGACAGAAATAATTCACACCAAAACCTTGTCAAGGTATTTTAAAAGCAAAAAAGTGTCCCATCTACAATTATACTAGCCTCTTCAAAAATATCGCAATAAATATCGTACCGTGAGATACATATCATGATAATATCATACCATGAGATTTGGATATCGTTACATCCCTTTAAAATATGATTAAATAAAGGTTACATTTCTCACAATTTTCTGCAGATCATCGTTCCCCCCGATATGGACACTGTTGAAAAATATCTGGGGGACAGTGGAGCGTCCGGTCAGTTCCTTCACCCTGGCCCTGAGCTCTGGATGTTTCCCCACATCTACATCACACACTGGAACACCCAGTCGCCCTAGGGTGGCTTTGGCCTGCACACAGTGAGGACAGCCCACGATAGAGTACACTGTCACCCGGCCCGGAGGACTGCTCTCCATCTCCTCCATCTGCAGATAGGATGAGAAAGTGAGAACAGAAACAGGAAAATAGTGACATATTGTGCACATTTTATCACATTAAATATTGCAGCCCAAACATAAATTAGAATAGTAGTTTGTAATTGTGTTTGGTGGTAAATTTGTTTAAAGAAAAGTGAAATCACCTATGAAGAAATGTTTGCATAATCTTTTGAAACTGCAGTTTGCACCAGAGACATTTCCGTATGACACATCTGTTGCAAAATATATGCCTACTTCTAATGCAACATTCAGGTTTTTATGTAAGATAACAGTACAATAAATGATTTCACTTGCTAATAAGTCTAAGATAATGACACTACAGGATTTGGATCAGTCATATTAGAATAGTATAGCATAACAGCACAACTTTGCTCCATATTAGTTAGCTATATGTATTGGCAGAAAGCTACTGAAATGAAAAGCCATTTTAGTAAAGAGGGAATGCCAGGTACTTATAATGTTACCTTATGGCGCGTCACTTTCTTGTAGCGTTTGCCAGTACGATATCAAATCGTACCACGCATTAAATATGCTTAAAACATATCCCGATGGTATAAAAATTATTACAGAAAACAACAGGAAAACACGAGCGTCTCTTCGGCTCTAAATAATCCACATTTGCTGCCCGTCACTGCGGCACTGTGCGTGTACAGAAGGCTAGCGCTGATTCGTTCACGGGCGGTACGTAAACAGAGTTCCTGCGTGCTATGCTTCCGTTGACAATTTACTGTGCTGTATTCCTCTAAATGTTCAATCCATGACAATTTAAATAGCTAATTGCACTTATGTTTTTTACGTATTGTATTACAAGTACACAGCTTGTGAAAAATACCTCCATAAGTGTATCTTAATTGATCCATGGTGTATCCCTGTGCTATGCGTCCGCGGAACTGTGTGTAGACGTGTGTTTCTGTACGACTCACTAGCCGGACGGACCATTATTAAACGGGGGACTGTTTACAAGTCGAAGCGTGAAAAATGACAGGACTATCCGTAACGGAGCGCACAGAATGTACCAAAATATTAAGACAAATGACACAATCAGACTTAATGTCACTTAGCGATACCGTCACAAATAAGATGATTGTTGTGGCGAGTAGTAAAGGTACGATTTCCCTGAAATATTACCTTTTTATTCTCTTCATATGAATGCGGAAGACAATTAATGGGTGTGCTGCTTAAATTGTGCCAGATTATAATAACATGCTGAAAAGGAAAACTTTGCGAGTTTATAACGTTGTTGTTACATTTTGTAGAGGCAATGGAAACTGTTTTATCTTTCACCAAATCTGCAGAAGAGCTCTTGAAGAGAAAGAAGGTGTATCGTGACCTGATATTTAAGTATCTTGCCAAAGAAGGGATCGCTATGCCTGCAACAAGTGAAAAACACGCACTTATCAAAAGGACCCTCGAACTTTGGTCATCTAAGAAGGTATGTTTACACTGAAAGGAATAATTTCGCACTAACAGAAAATATATTACCTATATAGCAAGAGATTGACTGTTACTTTTCTTATAGCTGAAAGAATCTCAAGGACAGCCCAGTGACAGCCGAGCCAGACAGCACACAGTGTTTGTAGACCCAGGCTTTGATCCTCAAATACTTGGTCAGCAGTTCTGTCAGTGGTTCTACGGTCTTTTGAACAGCCATAACCCGGCCCTGGGACAAGAGCATCAGGACTGGGGACCTCAGCACTTTTGGCCTGACGCTAAACTTCGTCTCCATGCCAGGTACGTACTTTGACAGGATGTACTGTCTTCTTGTGTATTTTGTAAATGGACTAAAATATACCTCTGGGTATTGAAGAATATACCCTACACTCAAATGTAACTACTGGAGATGTAGCTTGGACCAGTGTTGAAAATAACAACATCCTTCTGATGTTTTAAAACCTTTTTCCTAGAACATCTGAAGAACAGATGGAGGAGTTTGCTGGCGCAGATCTGGTCAGTCTTCGTCTTTTGGCCTTGACCCGAGAGGAGCTCTTGATTTTTAGTCCAAACTTGGAGACCAATGGTCTGAGAGCGCTGGCGTCGCCTCACGGCCTGGTGCTGGTGGCTGTGGCTGGGACCATCCACAGAGACAAGTCCTGTCTGGGAATATTTGAGCAAATATTTGGTCTTATTAAATCACCGGTGGACAACAACTGGAAAATAAAGTTTATCAACTTAAAAATCCGTGGACAGGATTCACTCAAAGACAAAGAGATGTCTGCTCCAACATTAAACTATAACTCCAGTGATTTACAACTTCTCTGTAGCTGATACAAATTCATAATTTTTATTTGTTATTTATTAGGTTTCATTTTCATCTGTTTTTATGCTATAGAACCTTACTTGCGCGCACTATTCATATATTTCTGTTTGGGAAATATGTCATAAAGCAAAAAATTTGGTTTTGGTGGCCTGTGCCTTATTGCACTTACTACACGGATGTTCTTGTAAATACTGTTACATAATAAAGATTATAAGTACTTCATCTATGAACATCAGTCTACTGTTTTTGTTTAAAATGTTTCATTGACAAAATGTTGAACTTCGTATGTATTCTAATTAAAGTTACTATGTTTTCATTTTCAAAATGTTATACTGAAAAATCAGCTTAAATATATGAATATGAGTATCATTCAGTTAGGCTTTTCACCAGTACTACTCTTTTGCTTTTGGGCAGAACAAATGTTTATTGTTTGCAGGAATAGATCATTTCTTATTTGGTTTTCTTTTTTTTATGTGATTTTGTAATATGCTAGCTTTATTAAAAAAAAAAAGAAAGAAAGAAAAACAAAGAGGGAAAAAGGAGAAATAATAAAAGGAAATAATGCTAGGCAATTTTCTGGAAATTGCTCAGCATAATTTCACAAATCAAGGTAGGCTCAACTGAATGTCTAAAATGGTAAAGCATTTTGTCAAATTAGAAAATGTCAATGGAAGTTAATTTCAAATGAAAAATACACTAATTAAAGTTTTATGTTCAGTACTTGAATAGACTATTAAATGCTTTAACTAATGATGACACTTATTCAGTTCTTCCATATGCAAAAAAAAAAAAAAGTTTCTTCTTATTAAAATCTGATTTTGGATTCTATTGAGTCATAGGGCATTATAAATGGCCTGCTGGGGCACTGAAAAAACTGCTTTGACTATGGTTTTTGTGGCAAATGTTACATGTGGGAAATTATTCTTGGCAGCCATTTCAAAGAGTCCTATAATAGTTAATATGTGCTGGTGCGGGTCGGAGCCACTAGGCCCAGTGTGCCATAGTTGTGGGGAGAGCCTAACCACTGCAGCCATTGATGTCAGCCTGTTCACCTTTCACTAAGAATAATGACAAGCTGCTCCCTTCTGTCTTTATGGCACTTGGCCTCTTTACATTTTTAATAGGTGGTTTGGCAGTGGCTTCTGCTCTGACGCACTACTTTCAAAAATACCACGTCTGGTGATGGTTTAGACTTTGGAGGCCTGTTTTCTCTAATGGTAAAGTGTTTTTTTTTTTATAAGGAAATGTGTGGAAAGTTTAGGCTCACATGTCTTGGAAACAGCTTATGGGTGGCAACCAGGAAATACAGTTTTAATTTTCCCACCTACAGTTAACCTAACAGCCACTTAGTTTGGTTTGTTATGGGCCCATTTTCACTGACTGACAATCAATCACTTATTTAATGCCAAACAATATTATAAATCATTCGTTGGATTTCTTTAACTAAGAAAGTAGACACATTTCCTATTAGGGCAGTATATTTCTAAGAATGGACTTTCTGAGTGCATTAGTTGTATAGACTACAGAAAATGTATTGGAATATTGGATTAATCTTAAATAATTATCAATTACATTTTCAGTGTATCTTTACTTCTAATTGATGATGAGTGATTAAGCCATCTCTCACCCAACTTCATCACTAGTAGTTGTGACAATAAACCCTAGCCATATAAAGGTACAGTTGTTTCTTATCAACAAATCTAATCATAACTGTCCTAAACATTAGACATTTTAACCTATACATAATTTTTTTATTGGTTGCCCAAATATATTGCACTTCCACATCAGCCTGTAGAGGGCAGACAAGCCACACAATTATAGGATGATTGACTTAAGATCCTGAGCCAAAGGAGAATTGGGAAAATCCTTTTAAGACTATTAAGTGAGAAAACGTTATCAATATCCGAATGCGGTCTGATGCTGCACTTCTAGCCATCCACTAAGAAAACTATAAATTTGTCCTCCATTAAAGTAATAGGTTTCCAAAAGAGAGATACATCCAAATGGTGTCTTTATAGGCACAAAAGCATGTTATTGAAGTAGCCTATGTCAGTAATTCATTTGTTCTTGTGAAGGTGTCAGAGACAGCAACTATCTGGGCCCAGTGGATTATAAAGAGCAGGATTTATGGACGGCAACAGTCAATCAATACGTAATAATATTTCTCCTGGTGGTAAAACTATACTGGAGTCTGAAGGAGAAGTGAATGAAAGTGTGACTGTTGGGTTCTTGAATTTGACCTGGAAGTGTTTCATTTGCCAAGAGCAGAAACTGGGGATTAACGCCTTTGTGGAATGGTGCTAAAACATAAACAGCTTTAGAGAAATGGGCTGGATTCTTGACAGTATGAACTTGGACAAAATGAGTCATGTGAGACTGGCCTATACCCTGACACAAGTGAGACAAATGAATGGACCTTTATGTGAATAATAGGCTAATATCCTCAATTCAGAACATTTGTGGCTGTGATAAATAGGTGTAGTGAAATAACTGGATCACTGAATTTCTTCAAATGTATATGTCCACTAATGTACATGCAAGACTGTAAGGGTGCATTTATTCACACTTCAGCACATCAAAACTGGGATTAAAACAGGACTAAGCCTCATATCTAATCCTTGACTAGACCAGAGCCAGACCAAATCCACATCAGGTCTAAAATTGGCTCAAGTTCTTATCACATGATGACAAAGAAACCAGGCTTTGAGTAAAGCATGATTAAAACTGAACAGTACTTTTGTGATCGATGACACAACTCTATGGACAAAAGGCTACTCTTCCTGACACTTATGAAGTCCAGTCATTGGAGATATTTATTTTGAAATCAAATTATTACTGAAATGCCCTGTCATGTCTTGGTAACCTTTATACAGTGATTACTTTATTTCTTAATATATTATTATACTATTTCTACATATATGAGATTAGGAAATGACTTGAAAATTCCTCATAATGCACTAATCTTTTACCTATATTTCCCAGTCAGTTATTCTGTTTGCCCAAGTAAACAGTATTGCATTTCCAGTTGTAGGCAACTATGCTTTGAAAAGGCATGAGAGAAGTTTGTTGTTTTAGTAAAGCTCTTGTTGGCACACTTATGTTCTGAGTGTCCCTACATCTGTTTGTTGGATAGTGGAAGCCCAGGCCCAGATAGATCCACTAAGTAGTTTCCTGGAAAGGTACATTGACTTAAGATGCCAGCAAATGGAAGTAATAACATTTACATTTCAAGGATATTACACAAGGACAAAGCAGGTTTAACAGCACACAGCCAGCCTCGAGGTCAGCTTTAACTACAAACTCATGTCTCCATTTTTATTTCAATTGACTTTTACCTCTTAATGGGAGTACACTTGACCACTTATGTTCTGGGATCATGGAAAACCTCTTCTTATTCTTAGGTGGATTCCCCTGATGTTAAAGGTAGGTAATGAGCTGTACTTTTCATCTAGTTAAAGCTTTTTGAATACTTTTTTACATCTAACGGTATTGCTATTGCGTCTTATATTTCTCTTTAGCTCATTTCACTTCAGTTTTTGACCACTCTCAAGACATTTTGGTTGTGAAATGGGGCACATTTTGAAATTACTTCAGCAGTGTAGTAGAGGATCAATATATTCTATTCTCTACTGCATCATAGTTTTGTATTTTGTATTTATTAGCAAAATGGCAATAACTTACAGCTCAATATGGAGGTGTTTCTTAATTAAGATAAGAAATACTTGTATTTACTTGAGGGACTTTCTGACATATATATTCACTTAGCCTGAACAAAAGTATGATTAAAGACTTAAATAGATTACTATTAATACTAATACTAATACTGATACTAATACTGATACTAATACTAATACTAATACTAATACTAATACTAATACCCATTACTAATACTAACCCATTTAATTAAAGTGGTAGTTAAGCCTGAGTAATGCTTTAAAATGGCTAATTTATGTTTAGGTACAATATGTTTTTCTTTTTACATCATCTTACATTTATTGTTATTTGTATATTTTTTCCTCTCTGATTATCCACATTGGCTGCAGTATCTTTTTCCAACAAATACTCTTACCAAAATGCTTGCTTGTGTAATTATTGGCTGTCTCTCTAACCCCGGTGTTCTTCTGTGGTTCTCTGATTGAAACATCCTCGGTTGGGTGTACACTTTATATCCACATATCTGCGCTTATGTATACAAACACATTGGTCCCAGCTGTGCTCAGAAGCAGCCCGTCGTTGTTTTTTATATTGACACTAAACTCCGCTGTCACTGTCTGGGATCTCTTCACTCAGACCTGGGCCTGTCTGAACAAGCTCCGCTCTCTGGGTACTCTCACGTTTCCTCTGTTTACATAACATAATGATGCATGTGTAAGGAGACACCAGTCAGGCCAACACAAACCACCGTCATGGCCGCCCCGTCCATTCATGTTCAGTGAGTGGTGATGTCAGCTCTCACATCTGCAGAGGTAGGCAGAACAGCAAATGAACATGTGCTCACTCAGGATGTAACTACTTTCAAATCATTTTACTCAAACTAAAGTGACAAGGTATGTTGTAAAGAAGAGCACTATGTAAACTTGAACATATAATTGCTTTGCCATGAATGTTCTACAGTATAGCCTTAAATTTAACCTTTAAATCAATCAGTAATGGATGAAGTACTCAATTTAGTTACTTAAGTAAAAGTACAGATACCAGAGCAAAGAAATACTAGTACTCAAGAAAAGGTAGAAGTAGATCACATGAAAAAATCTATTTAAGTAAAACTATTTAAGTACCTGTTTAAAAAATAAAACTTCAAATTTAGTGATTTTGATAAAGATTTGTGCTGAATTTTGTTGAAACAATAAAATTTAATCAATGCCCCCCACATTTGTAGTTTGTTTCCTCAAACTACAAATGTGTTAAAAAACCCTCAGCCTTTATAGGAAGTCTCAGACAATATATATAAAAAAAAAAACTTTTAGTTTTTAGTCCTGTTCAAAATGTAGTGGAGTAGAAAGAAGAAACACCTGCTCTCAAATGTAGCAAAGTAAAAGTATAAAGAATTCACTTTAAAATGTACTTAAGTAAAGTACAGATAAAAATGTATACTTAAGTACAGTACTTTACTTTTTTTACTACTTTCCTCACATTCCGTCACTGCTTTTTATCTCCATGGAGACAGACTGACGTGACCAGACCAAGATGGAGCCTAGATGTGGAGAGAAGTGAGCCAAGTCACAGTACA